GTGACCTTGGCTCCCTTGGCGATGCGGCTGGTGTTGGCGGGGCTGGTGGCGGCGCTGTCCGTCGCCGGCGCCGACTCCATCTTGGTGCTGGGCAGCGCTGCGGCGGCGGGCACCGGCATCTCGCTGGGGTTGGGCGGTGCCACCGGTGGCATCGCGTCTGGCTTGGCGGCTATTGGCTTGCTAGGTAATCCGCTGGTCGGCAGCTGGCCTCTGCCGCTGCGCTGCCAGGAAACAGATTTGTTGAGTGCCATTACCCCGCACTACGGGCTATAAGCGCCATATTGAGGGTATCATAATAATGAGAAACAAAAGAGTTACTTATGAAAGCTGACCCCACAGGACATTAACATTTCTGAATTTCCATTAACTTTGACCTATCATGGCAGCTGTTTAGCGTCTCTCCGGATGTTTTCTCACATGCCTCGCCTCTCCTTCGGCCGCCCGCAGGAGCGCTCAAGCTCGGTCTGCTGGCGCTGGCGGGGACGAAGGCCGCCGTCTTCGGAAAGGGCGGCGGCGGCTACGGAGGAAGAGGCTGCAGTGGCTACGGGGGCGGCTGCGGCGGAGGGCATCACAGCGGAGGTGGAGGCGGCCACGGCGGAGGTAGGACATGCCCAGGGGGCCTGTCGAGTGACCGGCTGGGCGACGAGAGGTTCCCCTCATTAGTATATCAACAAAATGCCATTGGGCTGACCCCTAATGTTAACCGTCTTTCCACGGATGTTCTCCGGCTGACATTCAAATGCTTCCCTGGATCCCGCGGGATAAACAGATTGAGATATTTATGCAAGCTGGAAGGACAAAACCGCCGTCCCGCGGGGGCGCCGAAATGTCTCTGTCTCGACTGCGATTTGCTTTTTCTAAGGAACTCGGAGACAGCGAAGGAAGGTGCAGTTCCAGTATAAGGAAATGCAGATTATTATTATCATTATTAATATCATTATTATCATTATTGTCATTGTTATGTTATCATTATTATTATTATTATCATTATCATCATTATTATTATCATTATTATTATCGTTATTATTATTATTATGATAATTATCATTATCACTATTATTATTAATAATATTATTATTATCATTATCATTAGTACTATAATTGTTATTCTTATTGCCACCATTATAATTAGTATCCTTATTGATATTCTTATCGATCATGTTATTATTATCATTATTATTACTATCATTGTTGTTATTGTTGTTATCATTATTATCTTTATTATTATTATTATCATTATTTTTATCATTATTATCATTATCGTTACTATCATTATCATTATTTTTATTGTTATTATTATTATTATCATCTTTATTATGATTGTCATCATCAGCAGCAGCAACTTAATCATTATTATTGTTGTTATTATTATTATCATTATTATTGTTATTAATATCATTATTATTATAATTGTCATTATTATTAGTTACCACTATTGTTATAATTATTATCATCAATATTATTATTGTTGTTATCATCATCATTATTATTATGATCAATATTATTATTATCATATAATTGATATTATCATTACCATTATCATTATTATTATTATTATTACTGTTGTCATTATTATTATACTTGTTGTTGTTGTTAGTATCATTCTTATCCTCCTTATCATTTCCATCATTATGATTGATATTAGTATATTCTGGATGTCGTTGTGTCCGCCTTATAGCTTCACTAATGCAAGTGATTCTGTTTGCCAACAGGTGGCTATGTAGCCGTGTACAGTGTCCCCGCCAGCGGAGGAGGTGCATACGGAGGCGGAGGGCATGGGGTAGGCCATGGGGGTGGAGGAGGAGGTGGAGGGCATGGGGGAGGAGGATATGGAAACGGCGACTCTGGAGGGCACGGAGGTGGAGGTGGATACGGAGGCGGTGGATATGGAGGAGGACACGGAGGAGGAGGTGCACACGGAGGCGGCAACGTAGGATTTGGAGGCGGACACGGCGGGGGAGGGGGAGGGGAGGTGGATACGGAGGCGGTGGTACTGGGGGAGGAGGAGGAGGAGGCTATGGGGCGGTGGTGTCGGGGGAGGCCATGGGGGAGGGGAGGAGGAGGCTATGGGGGCGGTGGTGTCGGGGGAGGCCATGGGGGAGGAGGAGGAGGAGGCTATGGGGGCGGTGGTGTCGTGGGAGGCCATGGGGGAGGAGGAGGCTATGGGGGCGGTGGTGTCGGGAGGCCATGGGGGAGGAGGAGGAGGAGGCTATGGGGGCGGTGGTGTCGTGGGAGGCCATGGGGGAGGAGGAGGAGGAGGCTATGGGGGCGGTGGTGTCGGGGAGGCCATGGGGGAGGAGGTGGTGGTGGTTACGGAGGTGGGGGCATTGGAGGAGGCCATGGAGGCGGAGGCGGAGGCGGCCACGGAGGAGGAGGATTCGGCGGAGGCAGCAGCTACGCCTCACTTGACGCCGGCGTCGGAGGCGACTTCGGAGGAAGCAGTTATGCTTCCCTCGGAGGCGGCGGAGGCGGAGGAGGAGGCAGCCATCATGGCTACAAG